TATAGCATGTTCACATGATCCCTCCGTTACATATAACGTGTTCACATGATCCCTCCGTTACATATAACGTGTTCACATGATCCCTCCGTTACATATAACGTGTTCACATGATCCCTCGGTTACATATAGCATGTTCACATGATCCCTCGGTTGCATGTAACATGTTCACATGATCCCTGTTTTACATGTAACATGTTCACATGATCCCTCCGTTACATATAGCATGTTTACATGATCCCTCAGTTACATATAGCATGTTTACATGATCCCTCTGTTACATGTAGCATGTTCACATGATCCCTGCATTACATGTAACATGTTTACATGATCACTCCCAGTAACAGAGTATTATCATAACCACCAACCATCATCCCAGTAACAGAGTACCATCCTAACCACTGTCACAGCACCGCCGTGTACTCACCTGCCCCAGGGCGCCCGCAACACCCTCGCGGCAGTCGCGGTACTCGCCGCTCCTGGAGGCCCCCCTCCAGGGTCCGCGGCGGCTTCTTCTGTCACTCGGCGAGTACGCCGTTGCGGCAAGATGGACCAGGCATTCTGCACAGGGAGGAGAGCTGCAGATCTATAGGGGAGGAACAGGTCAGGGACTATGGTGTAAAGCAAGATGGCGCCGAGTCCCTGACCTCTTTATATAGCTCCTGTGTGCTCCACCTACTGGTGGGAGGTGGCCAGTTATGTGATCCTAGCTACCTATTTAAACCCAGCACACCTTCCAGTCAGTGCTCGGTTATTTTGCTTGTCTCTATATACCAGCCTATTGCCCTGATTGGCAGCCTATGTGCCTGGTTCCTGATCCTTGATTCTCTGGTTGATTATTCTTGTCTGCTTCCTGACTTCGGTTTGATCAACTACTTCTGCCTGCTGCGTGACTGCGGTTTTCTTTCTATGTTCCCTGCTCCTGTTTCCGGTGAATCTTCATTTGGCTACTTCCCATTAAAGGCCTCCACGCCAATACAGACCCTCTGGGACCCTGTCTCCACTTCCAGGTGCTCCTGAGGGTCGTGATAGTAAGGGAGTGCTGTTCCGCTGCAGTTGGGTTCCATCAACTGTGCAAATTCCCCAGGTGGGTGTGACAACCACCAACTACCATACCTGTAACAGAGTATTATCCTAACCACCAACTACCATCCCTAACCACCAACTACCACCCCAGTAACGGAGTACTATGCTAACCACCAACTACCGTCCCAGATACGGAGTATTATCCTAACCACCAACTACCATCCCTAACCACCAACTACCATCCCAGTAACGGAGTACTATCCTAACCACCAACTACCGTCCCAGTAACGGAGTACTATCCTAACCACCAACTACCGTCCCAGTAACGGAGTACTATCCTAACCACCAACTACCGTCCCAGTAACGGAGTACTATCCTAACCACCAACTACCGTCCCAGTAACGGAGTACTATCCTAACCACCAACTACCGTCCCAGTAACGGAGTACTATCCTAACCACCAACTACCGTCCCAGTAACGGAGTACTATCCTAACCACCAACTACCGTCCCAGTAACGGAGTACTATCCTAACCACCAACTATTGTCCCAGTAACGGAGTACTATCCTAACCACCAACTACCGTCCCGGTAACAGAGAACCATCCTAACCACCAACTACAATCCTAGTAACAGAATATTATCATAACCACTGTGACAGAATGGGTACCTCTGTCAATTGCTGTTTCCTAGTACTTCCAAGCACCATAAGCACCGTACTGGACAAAAAGACTAGGATCCAGCTTCCAATGGGTAGTCCAGAGAGCATAGCAGGAACAGCTCTTAGAAAAGCTAGTGATGATACTCAAGGGAGTATTGTGATATAGCAATCCCCAGAGTGTATGTAGTTCTCCCCCAAACATGAGCCAAGACTTCATGAAGAGGTAAAGTATCTTCATGAAGAGGTAAAGTATCTCATTTTATGGGAGCCACAGCAGGCTTTTTATGCAAGTCCCCAAGCAAGGTGTACACCCACATGGACCTTGTTGGGGACAGGGACACAAAGCTTACAAACAAATCATAACAGTAACTAGCAAAGCTACAATTTCTGGGGAAATTGTGTAAAGTGTTCTTGCCTCCACTAGTAGTCTACAACTGGAGTGGGCGGAGTAACTGTTATTATTTATATAGCACATTTAATTGCAACGTTGCTGTCCAAAGTGCTTCACAGTTACATTAAACCATACATTTATAAAAACATTAGCAGGTGTACAAAAGGCCCTGTCTATGACATCACTTGCTGCTCCAGCCTGGCACAGGTCAGAGTATTTTGGCGGTTGCCATCTTCAAACAGTCATATTTTAAAAACTATACATCCTACAGCGAAGAGCTTTATATTGTGAGAATCACAAGACCCAGACCTACATTTTGATGCATAGTATGTGTCTGAAATATTAACAATGAAGGCACAGTCACAGTTTAGAAACTACCCTTCAAATTTGAGCTGGCTAGAGTGGAGTTTCAATGAATGTCAATGGACGGCGTGAGTTGCAAACAAATGGTCATATTGTAAAAACTATCAGGACTATGGCTTAGCCATGGACATGTTTAGTGGCAGCAGGGATAGCTGAACTTTTTGATATAAGATTTGTGTAGGTGGGCTTGAAAATGAGGGAGTGGTGGCAGTTTAGAAATCATGTCCTGATTTTTCAGCTTTTGCTAGCTCCCACTCTAGTTTTGAACATTTCGCCATTCATTCCTATGGGACTAATTTCGCCACAAGAATGACGATATTCCGTGAACCATTCGGCAAAACGTTCCACAAAGTAATAGCACACCAATCGGGAACAATTTGCACGTTTCGGTATATTACTGTCTATGTAGTGTAAAAACTGTAGAGGAGTTAGGGTGGTAAATTTGGCTATAATAATAATAAGAATAATATATATGTGAGATAACATTAAGTGGTCTTGCTATGCAAGAACACTTAATAATAACATATGTGAGATAACATTAAGTAGTCTTGCTATGCAAGAACACTTAATTAAAGGTATGACACTCCCATAACAAACATACAATCCCTCCCCTCTGCCTGTGAGATAATTGAGTCAGATACTGTATTAACCCAATTATCTCCAGGCAGAAAAAAAACAAATTTTACAAACCCCCAAAAGTACCCCAAAATATATATATATATATATATATATATATATATATATATATATATATATATATAAAATCTCCCCTGATCTGTGTGACCAACATATCCAAAAATCACCCATATCAGTTCAGGAATTTCCTGGAAGTCTTGTTTTTGCCCAAAACAGTTCCAGAGAATTAGGGCTAAGATCGGTCTCTCCGTCTGGAGTACAAAAGTACATACTTCACATGAACAGAGCCTTTTAAAGTGCATTGAGCAAGGTATATTGCAGGGTCCATAGTCCTGAGGCAAGAGGCTGGCCAGCAGGCCCCTCCAAGAACCCTTGATGAGGTTGTTTGTCACAAGGCCATAGAAGGCTGGCAAACAAGCCCCTCCAAAAGCCAGTGACGAGGTTACTTTCGTCACATATCTTCCCTCCCAAGGGGACACTAACCAGGTACCTGACCTCCTGTCAGTCGGTACCTGAGTTAGTCGGGCAACCCACCCACAACCAAGTACTTGAGCTGGAGCTCTTGGGTGTCCAGCTTTGTCCTGTCTGTCTCATACTGCAGAGGGGGCGTTTGGTACCCCTGGTCTCTCGGTTGCGTTCCGGTTTGCAGTTGGGCACAAGGGGAGGGCAGTGGCCAACTATATTATAATGACTGTAACTATTAATATCACAGTATAATGATATATAATGACTGTGGCAAAACTAGCCACTTCAGTATGCAAGAACTGCGTTTATTTGACTATTTCCATCTGTAAAGACCATGTGCATTCGTATGGTAAATACACAAACAGAAGAAGAATATACGGTTTGTTTAAACGAACAAACTGCCGAATGGAGGACCACACAAGGGAGTCGTGTTCCTCCAATTAACAACTGGCAACATCGAGGAAACCGCAAAACCCTAATGGTTTAATGGGTGGCCACCGTTCATATGAACGAACACGTGGCGACGGCCATCTTTGCTCACAAACGCCCAGCAGTGTTTGGTCGTCGAGTGCATGGAACTAAAATTGGTTACTCAACCTCGTGAACACCACTGTACTTCCATGCCGTTGGTACAGATAGACCAGGTCGTCTAAATAGAGCGACGTTTGGTTAATTGAAACCCACAAACTTCCTATACCCAACTAGCACATATGATGATATGATATATAGTGACTGTAACTCCATTAATATCACAGTATCATGATATATAGTGACTGTAACTCCATTAATATCACAGTATCATGATATATAGTGACTGTAACTCCATTAAAGGACCACTATAGTGCCAGGAAAACATACTCGTTTTCCTGGCACTATAGTGCCCTGAGGGTGCCCCCACCCTCAGGGTCCCCCTCCCGCCCGGCTCTGGAAGGGGGTAAAAACTTACCTTTTTCCAGCACCGGGCGGGGAGCTCTCCTCCTCCGTTACGCCCCGTCGGCTGTATGCGCACGCGCGGCAAGAGCTGCGCGCACATTCAGCCGGTCTCATAGGAAAGCATTTACAATGAAAATCACAGTGAGAAGCACGCAAGCGCCTCTAGCGGTTGTCAATGAGATGTGTCGTCCCCCCCCCCAGCGGCCGGAGATGGTATGTCCCGCCCCCCCCCAGCGGACGGAGATGGTATGTTCCCCCCCAGCGGCCGGAGATGGTATGTTCCCCCCCAGCGGACGGAGATGGTATGTTCCCCCCCAGCGGCCGGAGATGGTATGTTCCGCTCCCCCCCGGCGGCCGGAGATGGTATGTCCCTCCCCGCGGCCGGAGATGGTATGTCCCTCCCCAGCGGCCGGAGATGGTATGTTCCCCCGGCGGCCGGAGATGGTATGTCCCTCCCCAGCGGCCGGAGATGGTATGTTCCCGGCGGCCGGAGATGGTATGTCCCGCCCAGCGGCCGGAGATGGTATGTCCCCCCCGGCGGCCGGAGATGGTATGTCCCGCCCCCCCAGCGGCCGGAGATGGTACGTCCCGCCCAGTGAGAGCACCAAGATGGCGGCGGTTGTCTGTGCCCTGCACGCGGCCGCCCTGGCATGGTATGTGTTCGGTCTCTGGCAGAATGTGCAGGTTACCGGCTCCACCCTGGGACACGGGGCTCACACGTATGGGGGGCGATGGAAATACCTGACCTTCATCAACCAGGTGAGAGCAGGACCCCCTGTGACATCACCAGAGTGACCTCACCCTGACCCCTGTGACATCACCAGAGTGACCTCACCCTGACCCCTGTGACATCACCAGAGTGACCTCACCCTGACCCCTGTGACATCACCAGAGTGACCTCACCCTGACCCCTGTGACATCACCAGAGTAACCTCACCCTGACCCCTGTGACATCACCAGAGTGACCTCACCCTGACCCCTGTGACATCACCGGGTGACCTCACCCTGACCCCTGGGACATCCGTCAGAGTGACCTCACCCTGACCCCTGTGACATCACCAGAGTGACCTCACCCTGACCCCTGTGACATCACCAGAGTGACCTCACCCTGACCCCTGTGACATCCGTCAGAGTGACCTCACCCTGACCCCTGTGACATCCGTCAGAGTGACCTCACCCTGACCCCTGTGACATCCGCCAGAGTGACATCACCCTGACCCCTGTGACATCCGCCAGAGTGACATCACCCTGACCCCTGTGACATCACCAGAGTGACATCACCGGTTTTATTCAGGGCCATACAAGGCCTTTTATGCAAAAGCCCCTACATTAGGATCCCATACAAATATACAGGGTAATCCTTCCTATGATCCTCTGTGCCTGAGAAATAATTACCGGCACAGAGGATCATGGGAAGGATTACCCTATATATTTGTATAGGATCCTTGTGTGGCCCTGAATAAATTATGTCTGACATAAAACAATCATGTACCCCTTGTGAGCGCATAACATATCCGAAAAGCGGTCAGATCCCATGAACACAGCCGAAACGCCACCGGGGTAAAGTTTTAACCGACCGCACATTTGGCTTCTGCCCAAAATAGTTCCATAGAATCTGGGGTAGTGGTCGGTCTCTTTCGGGAGCATGAAAACGCAGAAAATACAAAATGGATGCTTTCACCCTTATTCTGATTGTGTGCCCCTCATTTAGGGGAATGATTCCACCGAACAGTGTTATTCTCAGATGTATAGAAACTAATACAGGCGGAGATGGAAGTTCAGCGGTGTTCGCGAGGTCGAGTGTCCATTTTTAGTTCCATAAACTCGACGACCAAACACAACTGTCTGCATTCGCGGAAACAAGATGGCCGCCACCACGTGTTCGAACGTACGAACGACGCCACCCAGCCGACCGTTTAGAACACTGAGGTGTGAACCACTATTAAAGTGTGAACAGGGGTGATGGAGGTTAACAATGTTCTGTATTTTTCGTGGTTTTGTTCGGTTGTTGAACAAAACAGCGGTATTAAATTAGATGAGCAAGGTTTTACCGAACAAACCAGGGAATCGTAAGGGAACATAGGTCAATTCCGCCACAATCCTGACCCCTGTGACATCATCACACTGACATGCATTGACCCCCGTGACATCACCTTCACCCCTGTGACTTAATCATAGTGATGTCTTCCTGGCCGCAATGACTTCCTCACAGTGACTTCTTCCTGGCCCCAGTGACTTCCTCACAGTGACGTTTTCCTGGCCCCAGTGACTTCCTCACAGTGACGTTTTCCTGGCCCCAGTGACTTCCTCACAGTGACGTTTTCCTGGCCCCAGTGACTTCCTCACAGTGACGTTTTCCTGGCCCCAGTGACTTCCTCACAGTGACGTTTTCCTGGCCCCAGTGACTTCCTCACAGTGACGTTTTCCTGGCCCCAGTGACTTCCTCACAGTGACGTCTTCCTGGCCCCAGTGACTTCCTCACAGTGACGTTTTCCTGGCCCCAGTGACTTCCTCACAGTGACGTTTTCCTGGCCCCAGTGACTTCCTCACAGTGACGTTTTCCTGGCCCCAGTGACTTCCTCACAGTGACGTTTTCCTGGCCCCAGTGACTTCCTCACAGTGACGTCTTCCTGGCCCCAGTGACTTCCTCACAGTTACGTTTTCCTGGCCCCAGTGACTTCCTCACAGTTACGTTTTCCTGGCCCCAGTGACTTCCTCGCAGTGACGTTTTCCTGGCCCCAGTGACTTCCTCGCAGTGACGTTTTCCTGGCCCCAGTGACTTCCTCGCAGTGACATTTTCCTGGCCCCAGTGACTTCCTCGCAGTGACGTTTTCCTGGCCCCAGTGACTTCCTCACAGTGACTGCTTCCTGGCCCCAGTGATTTCCTCACAGTGACTGCTTCTTGGCCCCAGTGAAGTCATCCTGACTCCTGTGACATCATCACACTGACATGCATTGACCCCAGTGAAGACATCAGCCTGACGCCAGTGACAATACATTAGCCAAGCAATGACACCGGTGACATCATCCTGAGCACAATCACATTGACCTTTTCTAACCCCCTGACCCTAGTCAAATTGAAAATTCTAGTGCTGAAGATTGCTATGAAGTTAAGCCACACCAAACAGTGAAATTCAAGGAGCAGCTACACACCAGGGTGCAGGGACAATGTAAGGATTTTTGGCTATTAACAGAGCACGAGTTAAGAAATTCTAAATTAAATAGACTGTGCAGTAAAGGAAGGGTAAATCTTAGATCTGTTTACAGGAAGTGTTTAGGAAGGTTGTAATTAGCATGCAGGGAGGTGTTACTAGGGCTACATAAACAATGTGACTTAACTACTAAATGGCAGAGAATTGAGCAGTGAGACTGCAGGAGCATGATCTATACACAAAAACGGCGTCATTAAAGGATCACTCTAGTCTCAGGAAAACAAACTTGGTTTTCCTGACACTATAGCATCCTTAGGACACCCCCCACCCACCCTCAGGGTCCCCCTCCCTTGGCGCTGAAGCGGTTAAAGCCCCTTCTGCTACTTACCTTAATCCAGCGCAGGGCTCCCTCGGCGCTGGTGACCTCCACCCCCACCCCCCCTGCCGACGTCAGCTCCCGTGTGGAGCAGAGCCGCACGCGCATTCAAACAGTCCTTAGGAAAGCATTTCTCAATGCTTTCTTATGGACGTTCTGCACGCTGGATGCAAATTTTGCATCGAGCCTCACAGAAGCGCCTCTAGCAGGCGTCAGGAAGACAGCCATTAGAGGTTGGATTAGCCCTGCAATGTAAACATTCTCTGAAACTGCTATGTTTACATCTGAAGGGTTAAAACCTGGGTTGACTGAAGTGGTCTGGGTGACTGTTTCCCTTTAAGATAAAGTTATTCTGGTGCCTGCAGTATCCCTTCAAGGAGTTGGCATTTGAGGAGATTTTGGCACAATTCAGGTGCCATCTTGTTTCTTCTCTGGCCGTGTCCGTCAATTTACACTTTGATCTTATTTATCTTTTGGCTGGAGCTCATCTTAGGGGAGGTACTTTCCCTGTGTGTAGTAGTATTATTATTATTATTATTATTATTAATGTTTTGATAACCTAGCCAAATCCAGAGGTTGGTGAATTAGCCGTGTGGACGTCTCAGCAGTACACAACATACCTCCCTAAGGTCACTGTGGGGTTTTCTGAATTGAGTGCACTGTCCCAGAAGATTTGGTTATGCAACAGAATTGAGTGTTAGGATTTATTTTGGATAAGACAGGGGGGGCTGTTCTCATTAATCAGAGGTTATGAAACCCAAATCTCAGCCTCTCTGTTATGTAACTAAGTTTCAAGAATTCAGATTATGTACTGTGTCTGTTACACGTTTCATTTTAAGATCTATATTCTGTTGGCGCTCAGTGTACCGAGATATTACTCAAATGTGCTGTGCTCTATCACGTCTGAAATCAATTTACAAATGATCCGTGTTTTACACATGCACTCAATCTTTTCTGTGAACGACCCTGTCTTCCCTGATATAAAGCTTACTGTTTACATTAAAGGGTCACTCCAAGCTGGAATTGAACAAATCCTTTTATATATATAATATATAAATACGTTAACATAATGCAAAATATACTAACTTTAAAAGGTCTGTGTGTGCCTTATTTTGCTGCCAATTCCAACACATGACATAATCAGCCTGAATCTTTGCCCACCTTTAGAAGGCAGCTTTATTCTAGCCTATGCAGTGTGTACATGTAATAATCCCGGACTGCGACGATTGACAGGTGCTAAGCTCTCTTGCACAGCTCCTGGTTTGTTTAGAACAGACGTTTCTGGGACATGTTCAGTTATCAGCTACTTTTTCAAACTGTTAGTTGAACTACAACTCCCAGAAGACTTCACTGAGCTCCCTGATGATGTATAACTGGGCATTGCAGGTGAGGAGGGATGGGTCAGCAAGTGAGTTGTGACATTGTGTACGCAGGTGCGGGAAATGGCAAGAAGAGGGTATTAACATTGAAGGGAAGCACGAGGGCTACAAAACAAAATAACTATTGCAAACAGGGCAGTAGAAAAGGCACCTAACCAATTTCTATAAAACGCCCAAAGATTTAGTTAGTGCTGCTACAGGTATTTTTTTCTGTCACATTTAGACCGGTGTACTGTCACCTTAAAAGTATAGTATAGTCACCCAGCCAACCTCATTTCATTGAACTCCTTGTCCTTTTAACCCTGCAATGTAAAACATTACTGTAATTGTAAACCCTGCAATGTAAAGACTACAGTTTAAGTCCTCCACTAGTGGCTGCCAGTATGACGGACACTAGAGGTCCGTCTGTGCCACATGACGTGGAAAGCCCATAAGAAAGTATTAATGCACTGCTTTCCTATGGGGAAACTTTAAATGTGCGCTCGGCACTTGACACACACGTGCATTAGGTTCCAATTGCTTATCACGTCTCCTCCGCTGCGTCACTAAAGGAGAGGTGAGCAGCTCTGGAAAATGGTAAGTGAATCCTCTATTTTCTTAACTTTTATTCCAAACGGAGTGTGTGACCTATAGTAGTAGAGAGACAGACATTAGAGAGTTAGGAATACATTTTGTATTCCTAGTAACTAAAAGACCAGTACTTTTACCATTAATTACCTTCTACAGACATGTGAATGTCATTTCTCTAAACCTGCCGTCTAAATCTCCCAGTAAGGACAGCGAAGAAAAAAATACATCCAACACACATCATCCTCAGCCTTCATCCACCTGAGTGTTGTTCCATTTTTGCTAAACTTGCTCACTATCGGTATGCCTTGTTACAGGTGGAGTATTATAACCCAGGCTGCCTGTTTGAATGTAGAACAAGCTTTGGCTATATTCTATCTAGTAGAACGTGCTAAACACTAAATTATACTGTAGATTCTTTGAATCTGTGACAAACACGGTAGTTACTCATCATTGACCTGGTACCTCCACTAGTGAGTCTGCCAGAATGGGATTCCGCTGGTACATTTGTAATCTCAATGACAGATCGGATCCTCAGCCATATGAAAAATATGAGCACCTGATTGCGATGGCTGATGTTGTCTGGCTCTGGTGATGAGATACCCCATTATGGGATTCCAGATCCACTGAGCACATTATAAATCACTAGATATTTCAGCACATGTCACTATTAATCCATCTCCACATTTGTAAAGTTTGCACTAAACCTAGGAGTTTGGCAACAGCACTCAGGAGTGTTACAGAAGTTGGGAATGATGAAAACCAGACATCTGACCATGTTAGGATAATTAACGGAACCACATCCTTCTACAAACCACAGCGTGATGAATAAACGTTTCACGAGATGGGACCAGTCATGCTTAATATTGCCCCCTTAATCCTTTACCAGAGAGGCTCATTTCTTTTCAAATCAGCTACTTACTACACATTGGCCCCCATACTGTCTGCAAAAGAGAACAGCTAGTCAAGTACTGCCAAAGGAAGGTCCAGTAATCCCAGTACTGCCGATGGTGGATCCAGTACTGTCAAAGAAGGTCCAGCTATCCCAGTACTAATCAAGAAAGATCCACTTACCCCAGTACTATCAAAGAAGGTCCAGCTACCCTAGTACTCACAAAGAAAGATCCAGCTACCCCAGTACTGCCAATCGTAGATCAAGTTACCCCAGTACTGTCAAGGTCCAGCTACCCCAATACTGCCAAAAGGAAGGTCCAGTTACCCCAGTATGCCTCCAAAAAGGGCCAGCTACCACCGTACTGCCAAAGGATTGTCCGTCTACCATTGCATAGGAGATACACTAACCCAGCCACTTTATTTAGCCTATGTTTAGGATTGTTGTGGCTTAGAAGACAATTTGAGTTCTGTTTTGTGTTTGTCAGTGGGGACAGTGCAAAGGTTCCTCTGTAATGGTACTAATGTACTAAAGATTTAATGAGTGGGCATTATTGTACGAGACACTGTAGTGACTTCCATCTCACTGAGTGCTTGTGTAAGACACTGCACATTTTATTTCTTACTAACCTTTCACAACATATTCTTCCATTAGGTTCTCCAGACTATCTTTTTTGGAGTGTGCGTTCTGGCTGATCTTTGCCCGTTATTTGTGTCCAGGAAGAATGGATTGGGTTCCTTCATAGTGAAGCTCCGAGACATGATCTTCTCTGTGCTTGCTTTCCCAGTTGGAGTTGTAGGTATTCAGAAACTCAAGACTGTGACGTTCTGTTTTTATAAATGTTATAGACCGTTCATGTGCCTTTTAGACAATCTGTGTGCCAGTTAGCCCATGTGATTCTTATAGTCAGTTTGTGTATATTAGACAGTCTGTGTGTGTCAGTCTGTGGGTATATTACAAACAGTCTGTGTGCCGTTTCAGTTTGTTGTGACCTCGTTCTGGAGTATTTATGCGTACGACCGGGAGCTAGTCTACCCCGAGGTCTTAGACAGCTTTATTCCACAATGGCTTAATCATGCCATGGTAAGTACTAACAGCCCGGATCAAGTGAGTTAGTCTGACTATAATCCCTATACATACATAATACATAACTGTAAACACCCATTATCTGTACGTGTCTGTTATATCCAATATCTGTGCACACTCCTTACCTGTACGTGTCTGCTTTATCCAATATCTGTGCACACTCCTTACCTGTACGTGTCTGTTTATATCCAATATCTGTGCACACGCCTTACCTGTACGTGTCTGCTCTACCAATATCTGTGCACACTCCTTACCTGTATGTGTCTGTTATATAATATCTGTGTACACTCCCTACCTGTACGTGTCTGCTTTATCCAATATCTGTGCACACTCTTTACCTGTACGTGTTTGCTATATCCAATATCTGTGTCCACTCCTTACCTGTACGTGTCTGTTTATATCCAATATCTGTGCACTCTCTTTACCTGTGTCTGCTATATCCAATATCTGTGCACACTCTTTACCTGTACGTGTTTGCTATATCCAATATCTGTGTCCACTCCTTACCTGTACGTGTCTGTTTATATCCAATATCTGTGCACTCTCTTTACCTGTGTCTGCTATATCCAATATCTGTGCACACTCTTTACCTGTACGTGTTTGCTATATCCAATATCTGTGTCCACTCCTTACCTGTACGTGTCTGTTTATATCCAATATCTGTGCACTCTCTTTACCTGTGTCTGCTATATCCAATATCTGTGCACACTCTTTACCTGTACGTGTTTGCTATATCCAATATCTGTGTCCACTCCTTACCTGTACGTGTCTGTTTATATCCAATATCTGTGCACTCTCTTTACCTGTGTCTGCTATATCCAATATCTGTGCACACTCCTTATCTGTGTCTGCTATATCCAATATCTGTGCACACTCTTTACCTGTATGTGTTTGCTATATCCAATATCTGTGCACACCCCTTACCTGTACGTGTCTGCTTTATCCAGTATCTGTGCACACGCCTTACCTGTACGTGTCTGCTCTACCAATATCTGTGCACACGCCTTACCTGTACCACCCATTTTCTGTCTGCACTCTTACCAGTATTCTGCTCTGTCTGCTATCCCCACATGTTCCTTACCTGTATGTGTCATGCCCACCCATTATCTGTGCACATTCTCTTAGCTGTTTGTATATCCTGCTATAGAGGACTTTTCCTTTCTGTTTACTAAATCTTACTGTCAGATGATTGTTGCGCGGGGTCATTAGCTGGAAAGTAAGGAGGGTTTAAAGAGAGACCTGTTGGAGTCCCACCTAGTGAATATATTCCTACCTTGTCTCTTCCAGCACACCTATGTCCTTCCTCTGCTTCTCATTGAGCTGTTTGCTTGCTCCCACCAATATCCCAACAAGAAGAATGCGCTTCTGGTCCTGGGCATCTTCTGTTTGGCCTACGTATCCTGGTGAGACGCTGTTACAATTAATTAACCATGTTGAAATATTGGGTGAAAAGCAACGCGTTTGGCAGTTTGTTTCTGTGCTTTCCTGGCTGTTTAACGAATTCCTTGAATCTGTCTGTTAAACCCTCTTCCTCCACACATTGGGTGGGTTACTATGAATGTACAAAAACTGGCCATGTACCTCAGGGGAAGTAGCCTACAGCTACCGTTTTCTCCTCTCTAGGATGCCCTGGTAGCCCCAATTAGCATATTACCTAGAAATGTGCAAACTGTGTGTATAAATGTAAATAACGTAATAACATATTTTTTAGTGTGGATCCGGCATGTCACTGCATTCAGATCCCTGTTAATTGCCGTAGGGGGGCACGTGACTCTGAGCTGTACGAGTGGGCTGCCAATGGCTGGATTACAGTAACCTTTGCTTTGTCTCCTCCAGGCTTTTGTGGGTGCATCAGGCTTCTGGGATCTGGGCGTACCCCATCTTGGAGAAACTGGATGCTGTAGGCAAGAGCCTGTTCTTTGCCACATCCTTTCTCATCATCATTCCTTTTTATCAGCTGGGCGAGTCTCTAACACGGCTGCAGTGGGGTGAGTTATAAAACTACAGATTAATATCACAGAGCTGCCATTGTACTGTCTGCCCCCAGGCACAGATCAGCTCTGTGTTATCTGTGAATAATTACAGCTTCATCATGTGCCCTTCTAGTGGGGCATGTCTGCACTAAACAAGGGAAGACGCAAGGCCAGTTCTGGGTATCATTCCGACATTTATCACTTTATCTCCATCTCATAACATGTTTTCATTACAGGTGGCAGAAAATCTACAAAGAAGAAGGTGAAATAAAAAAAACTGATTGAGGATCGTGGACCATTTACTCTCCCGAGAACTGGTGGTGGAGAAAAATCATCCGATCTAGAATTATTTAGAAGTAATTTTAATAATTGTGGGCTGAATATATAGGTATATTGTTATTTTGCGGCAGTTCCTGCCAGCCTGTGGGATCAACAAATGCAATGAAGGGACGGTTTGGGCTTGACACAGACATGTTTCTGTAGCTGCTTCCTCCACAGTAGAGGATTCTGGGTAACAATGAAGCAAATGAGCGTGTGTTCATGCATCCTCTAGCTGTGATGGAGGCATCATATGTATTTTAAAGTTTTACAATGGGTAAAGGATTCACTTTGATTGTGCTTCAACCAGTGATGCCTTGTGATTGCTTTATAAGGCAGGATGTAGTTGTGACCATATTGTACTGATCTACCTCAAAATAAGTCCAGAATCTGCACTAAGTCTGACCTCCCAGCTTACTTTCAGGGGGCAGAGCTCCCCACCCCCTCCTCCCAGCATCCCTTTGCAAGGAACAATTCTAAAGATTTATATGTTAATAGGATAATTAGTTGAATGTTTTCTGTTGGGCTCATACAGTGGTTTCCAGCTCAGACACTGTGATTATCTGTGGCGTTTAGTTAGACAAGGAAAAATGAATGAATTTAAAGTTGTATTCAGAAGTCTAATGTAACCAGCGGCAGGCCTAATGACAAAAAACGTTATCCTTAAAGGCACACTCTGCATATGCTAGATTTTCACCTCCGGTATTTGCAGTATTTTTAATTTTTGCATAATAAAAAAAAAAAAATGTTTTGCAGAATGCGACACCATAAGCTGGCCTCCTTAGCCACGTCCCCTCATGCCAGAAATCCTTTATTTATTTTTTCAGATATATGTACACAGCTCAGCCCCTGACAGCGCTGAGTGATCTGCTTTTAATTCACAACCTGGCTGTCAGAGAAACTAAGAACAGGAAACTATAAAAAGGTTACTATTAATTCACTAAAGGGAGAATTCAATGTGAATTTAAAAGTCAAAACAGATGAATTAGGAAAAATGTCAGATATTCTGGCTTTGAATTCTTGTTTTAGTAAATAACCCTGTATTCCTCCCTCACAGTCCTCTCTCTCTCTCTCTAATAAAGGCTGCTTTGCCGTTCAGAACACTCAGTGCTTTAAGTGGCTGAACTGTGTACATACATTTGATAAGGAAGTCTTTTTTTGGAATGGGGGGTGTGTGGCTCAGGAGGACGGCTTATTGTTGCAGAATTCTGCAAACATTTCTCATGTTGTGCACAAAAACCTATAACGATTTGAGCAAAACAATTTTGCATACTAATAAGACAGAAACCAAAAAAAACGATCAAAATACATTAAAGTTGGATTGGTTTCTTTAACATCCTCAACAAATAAATAGATGTCCGCAGAGAATGCGTTCTACTCATTCCCCTTACTGGAAGATTTATTATTAATGCCGTCAAATATGAAATGGCCAATTATTAAATGAGTCTCCTTGTTTACAGCAATTACACACAAAATAAATGGTGTATTTTATAAGAGTTTTAACACTCATTGTTAATGCTGGTATAAGATTAAAGTTAATTGCACTGTTAAATAAATCTATAAATTATAAGACATTTATTGAGCTGTGTGTTCCTCCCTTTAGTAAAAGCGTGTTGTGGTTATTGCTCTCTATTCACTAAATTCTGGGTACACTCAGGATCAGCAAAATTTGATGAGGAAAAACACTTTTTCCACAATTGAAATTTAGATATTTAATAAACACTAAAATTGATCAAACACCGAAAAATTACCAAGTACGCTTTAACCAAATGCAACTGGAACTAATACTCACAAAACATAAAATCACCTACTTTTTGCCAGCAAAACTATGAAAAGCTGCAATATTTGCCTCAAAGCCACCAGGCGGCAAATAAACCTATAAACTGAAACTGACGTAAATCTCTTAAATGCTCTTTAACCAGGAGCGTCCCATCTGTATTGTCCTAATATTCTCCATTATTTGGTGGGTGGTCTGCGACTCACTTATTAACCCTGTAACCGCTGTCTGTTTCAATTTATTGCATGTGCTCAAATATAAGCTTGAGTAAATCTGGAATTCGTTGCTTAGTGATTTTTAAAGGGACACCCTAGAGCAGACATAGGCAACCTTCGGCACTCCAGGTGTTTTGGACTACACCTCCCATGATGCTTTGCCAGCATTATGGATCTAAAAGCATTATGGGAGATGTAGTCCACAACATCTGAAGTGCCGAAGGTTGCCTACCCCTGCCCTTGAGACTATAACCATTTCTTCTTATTGAAGTGGTAATAGTGCCTGGGGTTTCCTGACCCCATCCCTCTATAAACCTTTTTTCAAAAATGTTACCACTGAATGAAGGTACCAGACTACCCACAGCTCAGCCCCCCTACCCTCTGCCTTAGCCGTACTCTCTGCATCACGCAGCCATATTATAGTGCTAACGCCCACACCATGTGATCCCTATTAAGGGTTAATAAGTATGTGGGGTTAAGGAAAATACCCGTCTCTGTCTCATTAGAGATTTATTTGCCTGATGCTAAAGGTTTTCCTTGATGTGGCAGGTGAGCTTACAATCTAATGTCCTAAAAACCTCTTTATTTAAATCTGCATAGGGATTTGGGATAGTGCGCAGGAAACTTTTATTAAGTGTTCTTGCATAGCAAGACCACTTAATGTTATCTCACATATATATTATTAAATGTTCTAGCATAGCAAGACCACTTAATGTTATCTCACATATATATTATTAAATGTTCTAGCATAGCAAGACCACTTAATGTTATCTCACATATATATTATTAAATGTTCTAGCATAGCAAGACCACTTAATGTTATCTCACATATATATTATTAAGTGTTCTTGCATAGCAAGACCACTTAATGTTATCTCACATATATATTATTAAATGTTCTAGCATAGCAAGACCACTTATTGTTATCTCACATATATATTATTATTCTTATTCTTATTATAGCCAAATTTGCCACCCTAACTCCTCCCACAGTTTTTACACTACATAGACCAAAATCTACCGACCGTTTGAAGATGGCAACCACCAAAATACTCTGACCTGTGTCAAGCTGCAGCAGCAAGTGATTTCATAGACAGGGCCTTTTGAACACCTGCTAATGTTTTTATAAATGTATGGTTTAATGTAACTGTGCAACAACGTTGCAATTAAATGTGCTATGTAAATGGTAACAGTTACCCCGCCCACTCCAGTTGTAGACTACAGATGGAGGCAAGAACACTTCACACAATTTCCCCAGAAATTGTAACTTTCTAGTTATTAAGTGTTCTTGCATACTTAAGACTTCACTTAATGTTATCTCACATATATATTAAGTGTTCTTGCATAGAACTCTCCTGTATCTCACATATATATATTATTAAAGTGTTCTTGCATACAAGACCACATTAATGTTATCTCACATATATATTATTATTAGAATTCTTGCATAGCAAGACTCACTTAATGTTATCTCACATATATATTATTATTATTATTATTAAGTGTTCTTGCATAGCAAGACCACTTAATGTTATCTCACATATATATTATTATTATTATTATTATAGCAAAATTTGCCACCCTAACTCCTCCCACAGTTTTTACACTACACAGACCAAAATTTACCAAAACGTGCAGATTGTTCCCGATCGGATTGCTATTACTTTGTGGAACGTTTCGCCGAATGGTTCACGGAATATCGTCGTTCTTGTGGCGAAATTTGTCCCATAGGAATGAATGGCAAAGCTAGAGTGGGAGCTGGCAAAAGCTGAAAAATCAGGACATGATTTCTAAACTGCCACCACTCCCTTATTTTCAGGCCCACCTACACAAATCTTATATCAAAACGTTCAGCTATCCCTCCTGCCACTAAACATGTCAACGGCTAAGCCATAGTCCTGATAGTTTTCACAATATAATCATTTGTTTGCAACTAACGCCGTCCATTGACTTTCATTGAAACTTCACTCTGCAAAGCTCAAATTTGAAGTGCAATTTCTAAACTGCGACTGTGCCTTCAATTTTAATACTTCAGAGACATACTATGCATCAAAATGTAGGTCTGGGTCTTGTGATTCTCACAATATAAAGCTCATCGCTGTAGGATTTATAGTTTTTAAAATATGACCATTTGAAGATGGCAACCACCAAAATACTCTGACCTGTCAAGGCTGCAGCAGCAAGTGATGTCATAGACAGGGCCTTTTGAACACCTGCTAATGTTTTTATAAATGTATGGTTTAATGTAACTGTGCAACAACGTTGCAATTGAAATGTGCTATATAAATGATAACAGTTACTCCGCCCACTCCAGTTGTAGACTACTGGTGGAGGCAAGAACACTTCACACAATTTCCCCAGAAATTGTAGCTTTTCTAGTTATTATTATTATTATTATTATTATTATTATAGCAAAATTTGCCACCCTAACTCCTCCCACAGTTTTTACACTACATAGACAAAAATTTACCAAAACGTGCAGATTGTTCCCGATCGGATTGCTATTACTTTGTGGAACGTTTCGCCGAATGGTTCACGGAATATCGTCGTTTTTGTGGCGCAATTTGTCCCATAGGAATGAATGGCAAAGCTAGAGTGGAGCTGCCAAAAGCTGAAAAATCAGGACATGATTTCTAAACTGCCACCACTCCCTCATTTTCAAGCCCACCTACACAAATCTTATATCAAAACGTTCAGCTATCCCTGCTGCCACTAAACATGTCAACGGCTAAGCCATAGTCCTGATAGTTTTCACAATATAATCATTTGTTTGCAACTAACGCCGTCCATTGACTTTCATTGAAACTTCACTCTGCAAAGCTCAATTTTGAAGTGCAATTTCTAAACTGCGACTGTGCCTTCATTTTTAATACTTCAGAGACATACTATGCATCAAAATGTAGGTCTGGGTCTTGTGATTCTCACAATATAAAGCTCTTCGCTGTAGGATTTATAGTTTTGAAAATAGACCGTTAGAAGATGGCAACCACCAAAATACTCTGACCTGTCAAGGCTGCAGCAGCAAGTGATGTCATAGACAGGGCCTTTTGAACACCTGCTAATGTTTTTATAAATGTATGGTTTAATGTAACTGTGCAACAACGTTGCAATTAAATGTGCTATGTAAATGATAACAGTTACTCCGCCCACTCCAGTTGTAGACTACAGGTGGAGGCAAGAACACTTCACACAATTTCCCCAGAAATTTGGCTTTTCTAGTTATTATTATTGTGTGGGGTGGTTTCTTGCATATGAGACAACTTAATGTTATCTCACATATATATTATTATTATTATTATTATTATTATTATTATTATAGCAAATTTGCCACCCCTAACTCCTCCACGGTTTTGCACTACATGGGCCAAAGATTTAAGCGTGCAGATTGTTTCGATCGGTTACTTCCATTACTTTGGTGATTTACTTGAATGGTTCACAGAATATCGTCGTTCTTGTGGTGAAATTTTTCCCATAGGAATGGCAAAGCTAGAGTGGGAGCTGGCAAAAGTGGAAGCTGAAAAATCAGGACATGATTTCTAAACTGCCACCACTCCTTTATTTTCAGGCCCACCTACACAAATCTTATATCAAAACGTTCAGCTATCCCTGCTGCCACTAAACATGTCAACGGCTAAGCCATAGTCCTGATAGTTTTCACAATATAATCATTTGTTTGCAACTAACACCGTCCATTGACTTTCATTGAAACTTCACTCTGCAAAGCTCAAATTTGAAGTGCAATTTCTAAACTGCGACTGTGCCTTCATTTTTAATACTTGAGAGACATACTATGCATCAAAATGTAGGTCAGGGTCTTGTGATTCTCACAACATAAAGCTCTTCACTGTAGGAGTTATAGTTTTTAAGATACGACCATTTGAAGATGGCAACCACCAAAATACTCTGACCTGTGTCAAGCTGCAGCAGCAAGTGATGTCATAGACAGGGGCTTTTGAACACCTGCTAATGTTTTTATAAATGTATGGTTTAATGTGACTGTGCAACAACGTTGCAATTAAATGTGCTATATAAATGATAACACTTATTCTGCCCACTCCAGTTGTAGACTACTGGTGGAGGCAAGAACACTTCACACAATTTCCCCTAGAAATTGTAGCTTTTCTAGTTATTATTATTATTATTATAGCAAAATTTGCCACCCTAACTCCTCCCACAGTTTTTACACTACATAGACCAAAATTTACCAAAACGTGCAGATTGTTCCCGATCGGATTGCTATTACTTTGTGGAACGTTTCGCCGAATGGTTCACGGAATATCGTCGTTCTTATGGCGAAATTTGTCCCATAGGAATGAATGGCAAAGCTAGAGTGGGAGCTGGCAAAAGCTGAAAAATCAGGACATGATTTCTAAACTGCCACCACTCCCTCATTTTCAAGCCCACCTACACAAATCTTATATCAAAACGTTCAACTATCCCTGCTGCCACTAGAAATGTCAACGGCTAAGCCATAGTCCTGATAGTTTTCACAATATAATCATTTGTTTGCAACTAACGCCGTCCATTGACTTTCATTGAAACTTCACTCTGCAAAGCTCAAATTTGAAGTGCAATTTCTAAACTGCGACTGTGCCTTCAATTTTAATACTTCAGAGACATACTATGCATCAAATGTAGGTCTGGGTCTTGTGATTCTCACAATATAAAGCTCATCGCTGTAG